GTAGAAACTTGCAGCAAATGGAGCCACTATGAGATAGGCCGTTTGTAAAAAAATACCAAAAAATTCTGGAAAATTGTGTAACAAGGTTTTCAGATGCGCTGTTTTTGATAGGCAACAATCTACGAGTTTTCAGAGTTTTTTAAATGATGTGTCTGAATTTCTGACAGAAGACCGAAAACCTGTTTTCACGATATATCTGGCCTAATTTTTGAAAGAAGAATTTGGCAAAATGTAAGTTCCATATTTGGAACAAGCGACTTTGATTGAGCCAGTATAAGAGCTTCCAGCTCCTCTGGTTATCTTTTGAGGTGAAATATGGCCCTTGATAACTCAAAACCGTGTTCAAATTTCCTACAGTAATCCTACAGTAATGAACAAGGATGGCTGCTTCGCTCCATACTGCAAATCTAAGTTGTAGCCAACTCTACAAAATAGTACCTAATGGTTGGCAAAAGATTTCTTGGAAAGAGAGATACTGACGATCAAACAGTGTATACATACTTTTGGAACACCCGTATATGGACAACCAAACTTTGTGTTGAAATCTACTCTTCTAAAAAATGGTAACTGTTGAGCGTTGACTAGGTACTCTTGGCAGTCGCATCATTTATCACTGATTGCTCCATTGGGAGCAGCACAAACTTGAAACTTTAGCGAGAGTAGCAAATCGGTAACAAATACAATGTCAGAAATCAATTGTATCGCTAAACATCCATTGTGATCGCAGCAATTCCACTCTCAATTTCACAGTGATTGTACCCACGAATTATGCGGAACAAACCTGAAAGTGGTCGCTATCTCTCCACCACAGCCCATTTAGGAATACTCACCTTTTTCACCCCACACATCGTTCCAAGAGTTAACGACTAACCAGTACGGCGCTTTATCTTTTTCATCTGTTCCCCACCCAATAATTTTAACGACGTGTCCACCAACTTCAAAGCCAGTTTTATGCTGAAAAGAATCAAGTAATTTTTTTTATTCTCAGTGCTTAATTCGAATCGTTATGCTTTGAAAGCATACTGGTTTTGATTGGACTACTATCTTAATACGATAAACCACCTCATAAATTCCTTTTTCGTACTCCATTAAGTCATAGTATACAACAAAGACAGCTGCAACAGGGCCGTTTGTCATGATTTCTTTCCTGATCTCTGTCTCATTGTTCGGAACCAAGTAGACTGATTTTCCTAGAAGAAGTTGGTTTGTAAGCAAACTCAAGTCTTTTCCTTACATTCGGTGCACTCTAGAAAGTTTTTTTTTCAAATTTTTTGACACGTTTATTTTTCTGGAAGGAATTGCTTAGACTTCAGGAAATAAAACGCACGCTTACCGTAGACT